TCTGGTTCTGCATGGGCCTGACCAAGATGAGCTGCAGAACGTCTTTTTCCTCCTTGGCAAAGGGGGCAGAGCAGCAGAGGCCGGTGCCTGTTGCTGAATCTTCTTACCCGGCTCCTTGGTCATGAGGGGCTGCAAAGACTGGCTTCTTCTCCCCGCCCACGTCTGCCCCGGGAAGGCCTGTGAGGACTCTGTGCACTCCTGCCTGTCTGCCGGGAGAGGGGCCTCGAGGTCACAGCCCAGCAGCGCCTGGTGGTCGGGCCACGGTTAGCGTCTCACAGCGGGCTTCTGCCTGCATCTGTGGGCTGCACAGGCATGATGGGCGTGTCTGGCGTGCGCTCGTGGACTTTCTCCCACCTTGCCCGCAGAGCCTCGAGGAGCCAGCTGCATGCTCACAGTGTGACCAGTCCACTGTGGTGACCAGTGAGCTGACCACCGGGTGGGAGGGAGGGCTTTCCTCTGCACTGCCAACCCCGTGCAGTGTCAGGTGCTGTGTTAACTCCCCTCTCCCTCAAAGTCCAGCCTGTAGAGGCAAATGTGTCGCTGCTGGGAATGTAAACATGGACATGAGGATGTCCAGAGAGGTCAGCCGTGCTTGCCTGGGGGCAGCTGAGAAGGCGGCCTGGAGCCCAGAGAGCCTGGAGCTCCCTGTGGACACTGCGCACTTTCCCTCCCCCTCCTCACTGCCGTCGGCCCATGGAAGACCCAGCAGACAGGAGCTGCCTGTCCCGTCTGCACACTTGCGCTGCTCTGCCACCTCAGGCTACTGTTTACTCAGCGGCGACTGCACACCTCTGAGTCTGAGTCTCAGAAATCCTAGACTGCTTCTCTTGATCGCCGTGGAAGGCCCCGTACACTCTTGGCCAGAGCATGGCTGAGTTGTTTCAAATAAAAGGAGGCCTCTGACTAAGTTCAGCACCAACCCGAGACCCTGGGTTTCTGTTTCTTGCTCAAAAAGAGGATCTAGTGCATGGTAGGTAGTCAGTGGGTTGTAAAGCCCCGGAAGGAAGGCTCTCCCTGCGCCCTCCCATTCCCCCTCCCCCAGGTCCAGGCCCTGACCCTGCTCCACACAGAGCTGTTCCTGGAGCATCACCAGGCCTGGGGGAGCAGGGATGCTGGAGACGGCTTCCCCTAGGGGGAGGGGTGGTCTGAAGTGGCCACTGATTCCACAGCTGCCTGTCCACCCTCTTCACAGACGCATCAGGTGGTTGTGTCCCCTCTCAAGGTGGGAGAGAGCGCTTGAGGGCCACGCTGTCCCCTGGCCTCAGTGTGAAGATGCCACACACACGTGTGTTCACCTCACAGTGGACCTGAGGCCCTGGCGCTGCTTGTGGCCACACAGCTGGTGACCTCTCCAGCTGTGACCTCTCCAGCTGGTGACCTCCCGCAGGCCCACACACGTGTGCTCAGGCTGCCCCTTGGGGGCTGGCTTTCAGGGTTTGCCCCTTTTTCACACTTGCTTTCTATAAACTTACTTTTCAAGGAAACTGCTATTCAGGGAGGCTGAGAAAAAGTCACCAGAATTCTCCACAGAATCAGTGATTTACAAGTCCAGTGCAGCCCGTTCTCTATCGCCCTGGAGCTGTGCCGAGTATGCTGGTGTCCTTTCAGGAAACCCCATTATCTTCATGTCCCAGCAACCTGAGAATAGAGTCCTTGCTTTTCTGGCCCCCACTTCAGCTTTCTTCTTTCAGTCTGTGTTTTGGAAAGTCCACAAAACCCAGGGGCCTCCCTGTCGTTGCCCTGTGGTCTCTGTGCCCCCAGGCGGTGCCAGGCCACTGGGCTGACAGAGGATTGGCGGGATGTTAGTCACCGGCAGACTTTCCAGGCCCTTCACCTCAGAGACTCCCGGTTCCTCATTCCGCCCCCTTAGACCCTGGGGTCACCGGGGAGACGATCAGAGGGCTTTTTGAGGACCCTCCCCGTCCCAGAGAGGCTGAGTGCACGGATCCGGGCTGGTGTCTGGTCACCCCTGGGCCAGGTCTCCAAAGGGACTGGGCTCTCGCCACAGTCCCCTGGGTCCCACCAGGCGGAACGCCTCTGACTTTACCGGTGCGCCTCACTCGGCTGCTTTCCTGGGCTCAGTGCAGTAGAAGTGACTGGCATGGCCGTGCGGCCCTCTGCTCCTGTGAGGAAGTCCCCGGAGCATGACATCACTGCCCTCTCCCGTGAAGTCCCCGGAGCATGCCTTCGTAGCGAGCACTGACCTCAGGCGCTGACACTGTTGACTGGAAATGAAGCCTCAGCGCCAGAGTCCGAGCTGGGCTTGAATCCTCACTGTTCCAGGAACAAGCTTGAACCGCGGCTAGGTCGGAGTAACGCGTCGCCGACACGGATCGTGTCATTACGCCGGGCGGGGCTTGCAGTCCTGGCGGTGCGGCCGAGGTGCTCTGAGGGAGAGGACGGCCCCGCGGGGTTGGCTTTCTTCCTCTCCAAAGACTGCCCCGCGGGCGCCACGACCGGGCCCTTCCACGACCGTGCCTTCATCCGGCTCGCTGGCCGACCCCGGGTGAAAAGATGGCCTTCGCCCCCGGCAGCAGCCTCTGCCCGCCGTGTCAGCCGTCAGCCCTGTGCCGTGCCCCGTTCCCCGACTGCAGAGCAGGGCGGCCAGCCCGCCGGGACGTTGTGCGGGCGTTCGCCACAGTGCAGCACGGCCTGGCCCCGGCAGCCCAGAGGGCCCGCGGGGAGGGGGTCCACAGACCTCCCGCCCCGGACCCGCATTCCAGGCCGCGTGCTGCCTGTTGGAAGAGGGACAGACGGCGTGAAGTGCATGGTCACCCCAAACCCAGAGGGTCCTGTCTGTTCCGTGCTCTGCCTGCTCCGGAAGTGTTTGTGCTTGGAGGTGGCCAGACTCCGCAGAGCCGGGCGCCCTGCGAGCGCGCTCCTCTGGCACGAGCAGCCTCGGGGCCGGCCTGCTGCTTGTTCCGGGCGGGACATCACTCCCAGGCCCTTCTCTGTCACCTTCTCAACTCTGGAAATAAGAGATGGGGCTGGGGGAAACTGAGGACACTCTAATAAACGCTGCCTCAGTGGGACGTGACCCCCTGCAGCTCTGTGGGAGGGACTGGTGGGAAGGGGCTCTGTCTGCTCCCCAGAGTTTGGCAGGCGCAGCTTCTCTGGCCCCGTGTCCGCAGGAAACTCCGCAGTCCCGGTCGGCGGCTCCGAGGAGAGGGTGCCTGTCCATGGTTTGGCCGGGTTCGCGGCAGGATCCTGCCTCGTAGATTTCAGGAGAGTGAAAGTGGAGCCTCTGGTCTCTTCGCTGGTCTGGCTTTGGGGTGTAAAGGCAGGAAGGGACAGGGCAGGTTCTCTGTGACCCGAGCACAGGGGGTAAAGGAGGAGTCCCAGAGCCCTCGGGCTTTTCGGTCTTTTATTTGGATTTATCTATTTGGCAGGCAGGGGTGCTGGGGGGCCAGGAGGCCGGCGGGCCTCCCGGCCCCCAGCAAGTCTTCACTCTGCCTGGGCTCTCCGGCCATGTCTGGTGTCTCTGCTGCCCTTTCGCTCTCGTTCTCTCTGCTCGTCTGCTCTTCGGGCGTCCTTGTGCGGCCCAGTCTCAGCCCAGGTGAATCCCATCTGCGCATGCCCACACCCGCTGCAGGTGCCGCCGTCCAGCCTGCATTCGGGACCGCAGGTCTCCGTCATCACTCCTATTGGCCGGAGGGCAGAGAAGCCTGATGCTTTTTTACCTTACCCTACAAGGGGCTTGGGGGTCTTTCCTGGTGGGGGGAGCCAGCTTGAGAAGGGGTGCACAGGCTGTGCCGTGTTTGCCGCGGTGTTCTCCTGGTATTGCTGTTGTCATCAAGGGATAGCAGCGACAGGGACTTCCTGCCACACCATGGTTGTGGGACACGCATGCTGTGGCCACTCGGATGAGCGAAGTCCACAGTTCCTGTATGTCGAGGTCTTCAGCCCCTGGAATGTTCCTGAGGGTTGGGAGTGCTCTGATTAACCTTGGGAAACACCTGTGGCGGGGTGGGGGCTGGTTGCCAGGGAAACCAAGGACCGGCCCACTCCGTATTTACTGGGAGGAGAGAGGGGCGAGAGGATGGAGCTCAGTGGCCCGGGGCTCATTTGGTCAGCCTGCAGGACCAGGCCTCCGTGATGCTCCAGAGACGGGCTGGTGATTTGTGAACGGTGCCCCCAGAGAGGGCACACCTCACCCGTCACCTCTGCATCTGGCTGTTCTGAGTGCCATCCTTTTAACTAGCTGGGGTTCATGTTGGGAGTCGCTCAGCAAATTGAAGACACCTGCAGCGGGCGCCTGGCCCCTCCGCCCCCGGAGGACGGTGTCAGGACTGAGTGAACGTCCGCAGCCTGCAGCGTCCCCACCGTTGAGAGCGGAGGGCCTCGTGTCGCGTCGGAGGCTGAGCGCAGGTGGCCTGCTCGGCTCCACGGGGGGAGCCTGGCCTGGGAGCCAAGTGCATACAGGTGGTGGCACTGAGGCCACGTTAGGAGCGTGCGCTCATCGTCAGCTGAGTCCTCTTTTCTCCTAACTAAGCACCCCTTCCAAAATGGGTGCAGTTCTTCAAGTGAGGAGACGACTTTGTCCCGGGAGTCGGGGACTTGTGTGTGGGGCCAGTCAGTGGGCTGCCGGAGTCGGGTCCAGCGTCAGGAGCCAAGTGGGGCGTGTCCTCGGTGCTGTGCTGGCTGGTATGGCCTCTGCTCGCTGCTCTCCTGCCCCTCGTCCATTGGCCCCCGTGCCACCCACCCACCTCTGACCCAGTTTTTAAGCCTGGACATAGTGGTGCGGTGCAGGTGAGATGTGTTCTTGGACGAAGCGTGGCTTCGCGGTGTCCTCGGGAGGGACCGCCCGCCTAGCTCTCCTCAACGCTGCATTGGGGCGTGTCCCCACAGAAGCCGCCATTAGCCCGCACACCTCACCCACCTGCGTGCCTCGCGTTCTGGCCGCTGTGGTGTGTGCGCAGCTGTGTCGACTCGGTAGCTGCCATTGCTCATCTTGTGAGCTGCGTGACCACTGTCTGACCTGTGCCGTGTGCTCTGTACAGATCTGCAACTACGTGGGGGCTGCGAAGGTCATCGTCCAGCTGGTCACCAACGGCAAGAGCACCCACCTGCACGCACACAGCCTGGTGGGCAAGCACTGCGAGGACGGCATCTGCACCGTCACAGCCGGGCCCAAGGACATGGTGGTCGGGTAAGTGCGGGCCAGGCCTCCCGGCCTGGGGCCTTGGCGGGGGCGCTGGCGGGACTCCGTGGCGGGCCGAGCCCTGCTGCCTCCATAGCCGCCCCTCGCGCGCCAGCACGGTCGCCGAGGGTGGCAAGTTGTGGTCTCCTGACTCTTGGGCACTTGTGGGCTTCCAGCAGTATTTGCTCCTGGGACTACGTAAGGACCAGGGGGGACCCCAGGGCTGCGGAAATCAGCGCTGCTCCTTGGGGAGCGTGGTTGGCTGTGAGTGGCCGCTGGGGGTGAGGTGGATACTCCTGTGCTTCTGTGCTGCTTGGGTCAAGGCACCAAGGAGCACAAGCGCGTTTGGGCTTGGAGGCATCTTGACCTGAAAGTATTAGGTGACAGGTTGACTAAGAGGTGGTACAGACAAGGAGGACCGCCACGTGGAATGGGTGAGGTGTTGCGGAAATAAAGTCGATCTGCGAGAAGTAAGACCCTTGTAATTAATTTTATTTCCAAGATTACTAGAATATTCTAATGCAGGTCACTGCATGCTGAGACCGCAGTCCACCTGCGCTGTTGCTCAGAAGGGAGGGCTTGTTTACGTCAGCTCTTAGCTGACGGCGGCGTTTCCGGCTTGGGGTTCTGGGAAAGATCCAAGTTCCTGGTGAACGTTCGTGCTCCTTGGAGTTTCTCTGTTTTTTGTGAAGACATTCAAGTGTGGAAAACCTAGAGTGAGCTTCCAGGCCACTGAAACCTGATCCTTCTGATGACAGAAGAAAGGCTAGAAGGAGGGAGGCACCGGGTGACTAGGGGCCTTTCTCTGGGTGGGGCGCCCTCAGAGAGGCTGGGGGCGACAGTGCCCAGCTCCCCTTGAGGCCAGAGCACAGGGGTGCGGCAGGGGTATGGGTGCCCCCACCACCTGCTGTCGGTTGGAAGCATTTCTGCCTGTGGCCCTGCTTTACCTGCGGGATAATCCCTTCCTTCAGAGCTGCTACTGTCTGCTGCTATGGAACTTGCCAGTGTACTGTCTCCTGTGGCGCCCCTGTGGTTGGCTGAGCAATCTGTCGGGATTTTAGAGGGAATTAATGGGTGATTACTTTGGGGCCCGCTGCGGGGTGTAGTCCACTCCATGTCTGGCAGGACGTTGGATTGCAGGGTTCGGTGCCCAGAGAGCACGCTCCTCCCTCACTCCACAAGGGCTGTACATCTGGGCGGACAGGCTGGGGCTCTGGGTGGTGGCAGCGGGGCTGTCTACACTGTCTGCTGCCTTTGAGGATTGCCTCAGGGAGTACTCCTGAGCCTCGTAAAAGCCATGAGGTGTACCTGCTGGGTGTCAGGTCTGGATGAAGTGAGCCCTGAATGGTCGTCGTGACCCCCGCTATTGCCCGGGTGGGCGGTCCAGGTCCTCGGGAATGAGCGTGTCCCTCTCTCGGGGCACTGCATGTGGGGCTGTCCCGGCATTGACGCCCTGGCCTGTGCTGCTCTCGGGAGCTCGGGTGGGCCTCACACAGCAGGAGTCTGGGCTTGCCTCCTGGCCCATGGCCCCACTGCCTTCGCACGGGCACCCCAGCCTCTCAGCGTTGGGAGATTGTGGGCGCAGAAACCATTGGGCTTTGTTTCCTGGGTGCTTTGCAGTGTGTCTCTGTTCTTATGTCCTGGTCTCCTCCCTCTGGCCCCAGGACCACACTAGCTGGACCCGTGGCCTCCTGGCCCTGAGTGCTCTGTGATGCATCTTGATCTGCTGTCGCTTGATTTTTAACTGAGAAACCTTCACTTAAACTGTTTTCCAAAATACCGTATTCTCGCGTGATTCATTTGACCTTTTTTTTTTTTTTTTTTTTTAGTTTTCTTTAGTTTTTTAATGTCAGAACATGTTGGTTTTCAGTAGGTAGAATATTCTGGCAGCCTTGAAAGCAGAATTCTGTTTCCTGCTCTTCTGCTGTCAACAGTGGGGCTGCCCAGGCGACTGCTGGGGCTGCTTTGGGCTTTAATTTCCTCCCTTATAGTCTGAGGTTTGAGCCACAGAATCTGTCTCCAGGCCCCTTGGATCTCCACTATTTCAGCCTGAACTAGCCTCCAGCCTGACAACAGAGCCAGTATGGCAGAGTCACGTGGGCAGGCCTGTCCCGTGTGGATTTCCTGGGCGGTGCTGCGTCCCCTTGGCTTGAGGGCGAGCACAGCTCTAGGGAGTTTCAGGAGGACCGAGTCTCTCCTCGGGCTTGAAACGGAGGGAGCAGGGAGCCGGACAGCCTGCCCTCCGCCTCAGCTCGGCCGCTCCACCCCTTAGCAGGCCCCGGGAAGGCACTGAGAGAACAAGTAACGCTGACCTCCCAGGGCGGCAGCCCCCTCCCTTGCTCTGCTCCCTACTTTGCTCTTAGCCTGTCCCCACATTTCACTGCTGTTTTCAGGGTACGACATCTGTATTAAGTTAGAGCTTCAGGCAACTGGGTCACCATGATGGGGCTTATGGCTTTAACTTGGGAGGTTTGTCTTTTCAATTTTCTTTAGTTACTTTTTGGCCATTTCTGATTTTCTATTTTCTTAGCCCTCAATGCCTGCCCTCTTAAAAGTGTCTTAGTTTAGTGTTGCAGTTTTGACCTGAAATATCAGAACATTCTACTTCTTTAAAACTTTCATTCAGTGGAAACAGTATCACCTGGCTCTACCTTGCACCCCCTCCTAAATGGTCGTCACACCCCCAGCACGTCCTGCACCCCAAGTTATTGAGATGTGAGTGCTAGGACCCCCTCGGGGCATGCCGCTGTGAACACGTGCGACCCCACCTGGCTGCTACTGGGGCCCACACGCGCGGCCCAGCCTCCACATGTGGAGAAGCTGCAGTTTTGAGAAAATTGGACAAAGCACGGACTGAGATTGGAAATCTGCAGCCTCCACATAAGGTGTGTCTTGTGATCCAGGGCTGGCTTTAAGCCCCACAAAAGTCAATGTTTGCATCTGAGAGGATGATAGGCCAGTGGGGATGCTTGCTGTGGACCCCCCAGTGCTGCAGGCTCCTGTCCTGCTTTGGAACCCCTCGTGTCCCAGGCTCCTGTCCTGCTGTGCCTCCCAGTGCCCTAGGCTTCTGTATGCTGTGCCCCCCAATGCCCCAGGCTTCTGTCCTGCTGTACCCCCCAGTACACAGCTCCTGTCCTGCTGTGCCCCAGGCTTCTGTCCTGCTGTATCCCCCAGTACACATTCTCTTGTCCTGCTGTGCCCCCACCTGTCCTGCTGTGCCCCCCAGTACCTCTGGCTCCTGTCCTGCTGTGCTTCCCAGTACACAGGCTTTTGTCCTGTTGTGTCCCCCAGTGCCCTGGGACCCCAGCTCTGCTGGAGCACACAGAAGCCTCGGGCAAAGCAGCCTGGCGTGCAAAGCAGTCTGGCCTGGGAACCAGCCCTCCAGACCTCGGCACTTAGGGTTATGGTGGGTCTGTTCAGTCCTCGCCACAAGCCTCACCCCAAGGTTCTGGGTCTGGGGGTTCCTGGCAGGTCCAGCAGCTACATTGTTGTAGGTGCTCAGTACAGGCATGTGCTCAGGTGAATGTGGTGTCTGGTCAGCAGCAGGATGCAGCCCCGGCCCCATGAGTAGCCGTGCTAGCCTTCAATTTTCAGACTTGGTCTGGTTTGAAGTACGGTTTAAATATTGTGATATTCACTTTTATTTTTCCCATTTGTTCTTAATTATTTATATGTATTTTACATTATTGTTCATTTTTGTAGGAAATTTGCTTTCTCCTCTCAGGTACCATCCCTGTAAAATTCCCACCACCCATTCACCATCACCATAGTCCCTTCTGCTCCCCCTACCACCGCCCCTGCAGTGTCTCTGATTTATAGTTGCCTGTTAATTTTGGTTTTTATTTATTATTATTTGTTTTTTCCTGATCCTTTATTTGGTTCCCCTACATTCCTCCTATATAAGTTAAACCATCAATATTTTTCTTTTCCCTTCTGACTTACTTCACCAAGCATAAACCGTTCTAGCTCCATCCATGTTGCTGCGAATGACGTGAGTTTATCTTTTTTGATAGCTGAGTAGTATACTGTCCATTGCATACATAGACCACATCTTCTTGATCCAATCATCTATTTTTGGGCATTTGTGTTGTTTCCAAATCTTACCTGTTATAAATGGTGCTGCAGTAAACATAGGTGTGCGGGTGTCCTTTGAAATCAATGTTTGTGTCCTTTGGGTAGATCCCTAGGAGTGGGATTGCTCGGTCATATGGACGCTCCATTTTTAGTAGTTTGGGAAACCTCCAGACAGCTTTTCATAGTCGCTGAACCAGTTTGCACTCCCACCAGCAGTGCAGGAGAGTTCCTTTTTCTCCACATCTTCGCCAACATTTGCTGTTGCTACTTTTTTAAATATGTGCCATTCTCACTGGTGTAAGGTGGTATCTCATTGTGGGTTTGATTTTCATTTTCCTGATTATAAGTGATATTGAACCTGTTTTTTGTATACCTATTGACTATTTGCATTTCCTCTTTGGAGAAGTGTCTTTTTAGCTCTTCTGCCCATTTTTTTGACTGGATTATATTGTTTTTGTTGATTCATATGAGCTCTTTGTAGATCTTCATGATCAGTCCCTTATCAGTTGTATGAGCACAAACATTTTTTCCCAATCAGTGGGGTGTCTCTGTTTTGGTTAATGTCTCTTTTGCTGTGCAGAAGCTTTTCAGTTTGAAGTAATCCCCGGTGTGTATCTTTTCCTTGGCTTTCTTTGCTGTGGGTGATGAGTCTTTAAATATGTTTTTCAGATGTATGTCTTGGAGTGTTTTGCCTATATTTTCTTCTATATATTTTATGGTTTCAGGTCTTATGTCCAGTTCTTTTATCCATTTTGAGTTGATTTTTGTACATGGTGAGAGGTAGTGGTCAAGCTTCATTCTTTTGCATGTGGTGGTCCAGTTTTCCCAGCACCATTTATTGAACAAACTATCCTTGTTCCCTTGAATATTCTTTGCTCCTTTGTCAAAGATTAGTTGTCCATAGATGTGTGGCTTTATTTCTGTGTTTTCTATTC